TTCTCTGTGATTGAGCTGGAACACCTGCCCCTTCTGAGCACTCCCTCACTCAGATGGTGAGAACATTCTCTGTGGTTCAGCTGAAACACCTGCCCCTTCTGAGCACTCACTCACTCAGATGGTGAAAACATTCTCTGTGATTCAGCTGTAACACCTGCCCCTTCTGAGCACTCACTCCCTCACTCAGATGGTGAGAATGTTCTCTGTGATTCTTCAGTCACAGTCAGGAATTCTAGGAAGGACTTAAAACCAGGTGATTGAGCTTTTCACTTTTCACAGGACCAGCGTAGTGGCATCTACTTGGTGGAATCCGAAATTGTCTCAGTATGCATGCTCTCACAGGGTTCCATTTACTAAGAGAATGGTGCTGAACAAACCATTGTTTTCTCCTTTCTGATAAAGAGGATTGTTTCTGTTTGTCTCTTAGCATAATTATTACGGATTCATCAGTAAACGCATCTTGCAGGGTATCATTACGAGTCTGCTTTTAATTGCTCTATTTTCATTTTGACATACCTAAAGGGCACAATATCTGCGTTTGGTTTATTGAAACCACACTGTTGGAATGGACTCAGCAAATGATCGGGCACAGTTAGGAGCCCAGTTGCTAAACTAGCTAAGTCTCATTATACTTGTAAGTCATAATTTTTTGCATCACTTCTTTCTGGGTATACTTGACTTGGAAAATGTGCCTGGTGTTCCAAGCCCAGCAATTTGGATATAGTATCCCAAGGAAAAGCATAGACTTGAGAGTCAGCCAGCCTTGAATCTGTAGTAGGTCTTTGCTCTGTACTACCTGTGTGCCTTTGGGCAAGTGACTCAGCCTTGATGAGACTTCATTTTGTTATCTCTATTATAGAGCAAGAAAACCTGCCTTGGTGGGCTGTTTTGAGGATCCTAATTCAGGAAAATCCTAAATTAAGTTAGAGCAGGTTAATCCATGCATTTGACATCTGGTACATAGCAAAATTTTAATGAATATTAGTTTTCCCCTTACCATTACAAAAATGACCAGCCTAGGGAACAAAGCAGGACTCTTCTGCAAAAAAAAGAAAATACTTCGCTGGGCACAGTGGCACAAAAATGACAAAGATTTTTGCTTAAGACGACAACTGAAGAACAGTGGAATCTGCAGATGGTCAGCCCTCTGGGATGTGTTTCAACACGAAGATGTACAAAGAACTTGGAGCAGAATTTTGTGAAAAAAGGTTATGGATAGATAGATGCCAGCCTCTAATTGGACAGTTGTGTGGATTTTACTGTTAGCCAAATACCCTGAGAAGGTGGGAAATGTTATACAAAGAGTCTGAAGAGCTTTCCCAGAAGCTGAAAAATAGGCATTTCCTTATCCAATAATAACCACTAGCTAAATGAACGTAAGTAAATGACTTGATGTTTTTGGGTTTTATTTTCCATCTACTGCTTATGAGAGTTAAATGGGCAACTCTGCAGTCCTATAGTCCATGGTGATAATAGGTGGCCTTAGCAAGGAACAGAAACTGTGGCATCACAGTTTGGGATTTCAGAGTATTTGGATAGTGATTTTAAAAACCAAACTGAAATATAGCTTAAAATTCCTGGATGTGTAAATTCTATAAACACGTGAGTTCTGCTATGTTGGGAAGAATTACGGTGGTATCTTATGAACCCACTTTGACCTGTATTGAGAGCTACGAAGGCCCTAGAAACAGGGGATTCATCTGAAATGCCTTCTCCCCACTTTGGAATTTGTGAAAATTTGAACAGGTTAACTTTGGCTTTACGAAAAATGGAGAAGTACACATTGTTTTCAAGGACATTTGGCCTAGTAGGCATTCAGTAAATACTTATAGAAGAAATTGTTTCCTTTGAGCAACTGCTGGCATTGTTCTAATTATTCAAATTACTTAAGTTGAGGATTTCCTGACAGCTCTCCCACACCCACTTTCTCTGACTCCCAGTCCCTTTACATAGTCTGAATTAGGAAGGTGTGGATTACCCCAAATCCATTTCTCTGCAAAGGCAACGTCACTGGAATACGTTCTTTTTCATTTCCATATTTTAACAGTTTAATCCTCAACCAGTTACTTGAGCAAACACCTTTAAGTTCAGATATGTTATGAGTACAGCTTGCTATTCATTATAGACTAAAGGAAACAGTTGTCATGGTTTGGGGAAGGAAAGTTTTCAGTTTCTGGTAATTTAGAGGTAACACCCCCAGTCTCAGATGGATGGGAATTTTTTTCTCTCCTACAATAATTCCAGTCCATGTCTTCTTAGTTTCTTTTTAAACGATGTATATTCTAAAAAAGTAATAATAGGAAAATTACCTGAATCTGAAAATTATCTTTCTTGCATCTATTATTTGTGAAAGACAGATCAAAGTAATACTTTAACGTTCCCAAATTCACAATATCTTCCTTCCTTGCGCCCTCCAACTCCTTCCTTCCTTCCCTCTCTCCTCATCCTTCCTCCCCTCCTCTCTCCTTCCTTCCCTTCCTTTCTCTACTTCTTCTTTCTCTGCTTTATGACTCCAGGATTTGAGTCATTTGTCATTTTTTCATCTGTGTCAAAGAAAAGCCGACACAATTGCTTTAAATCAAGCAAGAAATAAGACGAAAATGCTATAAGTCATTACCATTGGTTTCCACTCACCAGGTTTCTTTCCCCACAGAGGACTGAAGTATTTCATCATTCTCTTTATAGCTAACTTTGGCTTAACAAGAAGTACGTTTAAAGGGACATAGTTTCTTTTTTTGAAGACTTTATTTTTTTTAGAGCAGTTTTAGGTTTGCAGAAAAACTGAGAGGAAGGTCCAGACATTGCCTGTCTACCCCCAGCCGCCACACAGGTGGCCTCCTCCCTTATCAGCATTCCTCTTCAGAGTGGTGCATTTGTTACAATGGAGGAGCTTATTACTGACACAGCACCATCACCCCAAGTCCATGTAGTCACATTAGCGTACACTCTTGGTGTTACATATTCTATGGATTTGGACAAGTGTCTAATGACACGCTGAAAGAAATTTCTTGCAAACATATTTGAACGTATTTATTTTGTACCGTTTTTAATGATAGAGTTTCTTGTTTACTCTCTTTCCAAGACTTTTTCACTCCCTGATAAAGAGGAACAAAGGTCACAGATCAATGGTGTGTGCCTACTTTTTGTAGCAGTGGGCTGTGTATCCCTTATCACCCAATTTCTGCAGGTAAGGACTTTTGTTTTTCAGTAAGTCATTTAGCTATTTTCTTGTGTTAAAATATTACTTAAAAACTCCTTCTTTATGTTTTAGGGATATGCTTTTGCTAAGTCTGGGGAGCTCCTCACAAAAAGGCTACGTAAATTGGGTTTCAGGGCTATGTTGGGACAAGACATTGGCTGGTTTGATGACCTCAGAAATAGCCCTGGTGCATTGACAACAAGGCTTGCTACAGATGCTTCCCAAGTTCAAGGGGTAAGCTATGGGGGGAAACAGGGATGTCTTAACTAGCACTGGCATTCTTTCCGGGGAGCATGTTGATAACCTCCTATGAATTTCCAGGGCAAAAGGAATCAGTGGGATTAAGTTACCCCAGAGCCACATTTTCTACCATGTTTAAGGGAGCGAGTAGCAGCGTGAACACGGCTTTTTCCCGGGCAGTGCCTAGATCAGCCTTCTGACCTGTATCTGTCTGGGGTTTGGATTTCCTCCAGGTTTGGGAACTGAGGAGAACTTTTTCCTGAACTTCCATTCTCTGAGTATTTTGAGGGCCCGAGTCTCACATTCCACAAGACTCAATAATGCTGCCCCCAGAGGGTGGAAACGAACGAGGCTTAGCTGTGTCCAAGGGACTAGACACTTGAACAAGATAAGAGTGTGCCTTTGGAAAACCAGGCATTGGACTAAAGTGAAGAAAGCCAAATTTGCCTCCCAGCATCTCTATGCACTTTTCATGAGAATGAAAAAAAAAAAAAAAGAAAGCCAAGTGTGGTTTTTCAACACAATCATGATTTGTGAGACTAGTGGAAGAAAAAAATTTCCCTGGATCAACAGTGCCGTAGTGTAAAGTGTCTCAACTCCTAGCTTGTTCAACCAAAGATTATAAAAAATGATATGGCAAAGTTTCAATGAAACGTAGCATCTTCTCTCTTGGAGGAACATATCCCTGTAAAGATCTCACTTTCCATCCAGCTGGGCCTTTTCTGCCTGTACACGCTTCCCCTAGACTTAGGGTCGCCTCTTCGTATCGCCTTGCAGTCTTTCTTTTTCCTCCTAAAAGTCTAATGGGAACCTATTTTCAACATTATATATTCTTCTACAGTAGATTTTTAATGACTGCATAGTACCTCATTTTAAAGGACTATCATTTCTTAAAGAATTCCCCATTAGGTTTTCACATTTTCACATTTTTCACATTTTTTCCTTTCCTTATAAGCAATTTATAATTTTTTACATCAAACTTGTAACATCCTTGATTATTTTCTTAGTTCTCATAATGGAAATACTGGATCAAAGTGTTTAATCTTTTTGAAAGAATTTGATATGCTTTCTGTTACTGCATAAAGAAAGGGGGATACGATTTCACTCTCACCATCCGAGCATTATAGTATCTATTTCCCTTACTCTTTAATTTAGACTAAATGAAGAGGCTGTAATCTTATCTCTTCTACTTTTGTGTCTTTCCATATTCAAGGAGCTTTTTAGAAGTTAGAAGTTTTGAAAAGCCTTTTCCGAAATCGTTGCATATATGATTTGCAGAGTATTCAGAGAGCAGCATCTAATTATTGCACAAAAATTTCCCTTATGTTTAAAAGAGAGGAATTTCTATGTGTTTTTCTAATACTTTTGTTGTTTACTTCAAAGTAAATAACTTCTTGGAGAGAAAATAGTCCAAAAATATTTGGTAAACGTAAATTCTATTTTCTACCGACTTGAAATCTTTCCTCCCACTGTGAATCTTAATGTCCTCTATTTACTTGGAACTATTTGAGAATTTGCTATTCTTTTTTATTGATCAATTTGACTTACTCTATGGCAAAACCTTGCTATTTTAATTATGTAATTTGATAAATTTTTAGTAAGGAAGAATTTAGCACAGTAATTTTTCCCCTTCAAAATTCTCTTATCTGTTCCTGGACTTTAATTATTTTAATGTACTTTAAATTTATGTTTAATTCTTCAAAATTTTGTTTTGATTCTGATGGAATTCACACAAACATACATGCTAGGATTGCTATGTATTATATCTTTCTGAGAGACAGAAATAAGACTCTTTAGTATTTAGCAAAATTAATAGCTACATTAATATGTCCCTCTGTCTTATTTTTGTTGTTGTTGTTGTTGTTGTTTGAGACAGAGTTTCAGTCGACTCACAGCAACCTGAAACTCCTAGGCTCAAGGGACCCTCTTGCCTCAGTGTCCTGAGTAGCTGAGACT